TCACCGGAAGGGTTTGCAAGCACTGGAACAGTCTGCCCAGGGAAGTGGTGGAGTCACCATCCCTGGGGGTATTTAAAAGACGTGTAGATGAGGTGCTTAGGGACATGGTTTAGTTGGCATGGGGGAGTTGGGTTGATGGTTGGACTCGATGATCTTAAAGGTCTTTTCCAACCTTAATGATTCTGTGATTCTCTGATTCTATGACCTGTCACCCCTCCCCAGCAGCCGGTGTCCATCCGGGAGCTGCAGCTGGGGTCGGCCGGGCAGGGGACATTTTGTTTTCCTGCCCAGGTCAGTGAGAGGAGGGAAGACCCACACTGGGCACTCTGGCAGGGCCTTTGCATCAACGCCTGTGGCACGGGGGTCTCTCCCTGCTGTCTCGGGGCTTTCAGCTCTGCCTGGCACCTGTCACCCCTCCCCAGCAGCCGGTGTCCATCCGGGAGCTGCAGCTGGGGTCGGCCGGGCAGGGGACATTTTGTTTTCCTGCCCAGGTCAGTGAGAGGAGGGAAGACCCACACTGGGCACTCTGGCAGGGCCTTTGCATCAACGCCTGTGGCACGGGGGTCTCTCCCTGCTGTCTCGGGGCTTTCAGCTCTGCCTGGCAGTGCCGGTCCCGGGGGTACGGGCATGGGCGACGGCAGCGATCTCCTCCCAGTCCAGGCCGGCTCATCCGGGTCTCCCGTGCAATGCGGTTTCATTACAGCAACCTCGCCAGAGGCGCAGCTGCCTTGAGGGTCAGCAAAAGGCTCCGCAGAGCCGAAAGCATCAGCAAAGCACCAGGGTAAAAGCGGGGGAGGGTCCTTCCGGAGGGATCCGCTGCCGAGTGGGCAAGCGATGGGTCTGTGCGGGGCCGTGGCTGGGGCCAGCGCCTGCGGCGGCTCCGGGAGCAGCACTGGGGGTGCTTGGTGCCTCCTGAGCCAGGGAAAGTCCAGTCCGGTGGCTCAGCGGGAAACCAGCCCAGGGTGTGAGCCCTCTACCAAAGGTCCCGTGAACAGGCTTTTCCCGTGGATGCAGCGAGCTCCAGGCATTGCAGATAACGAAGCTCAGGGCAGGCAAAGGGAAGCACAGATAACCTCGGCTTTTGCCCTTCCTCACCCCCAGCCCATCCTCCCTAAACAGCCCGGGTCCTCCGAGAGGGAGGATGCCCTTCCCCTGCCTGTGGCCCAGGACAGCCCCCGCAGTGCAGCCCCTGCTGGGTTCGCAGGGCTGAAACTTCTCTGCTCCCCGGGGAGCGGGGGCTGATCGCCTCCGACTGAGCCTCCCGGGGCTCAGCATCACAGTGAAAAACAGATGTGTAAGGAACCAGCTACAGCCCTTGTCACAACTGGGAAACGCCATCGTAAAACTAACAGACAGAACAAACTATAACTAAAACAAAAAACTGGGACAAGTGTTGCATTTCTAAATCCTGCAAGATACGGTCAGCGCTGAAGCGGTCAGGCAGTTGGACTAGATGATCGTTGTAGGTCCCTTCCAACTGAACTATTCTATTCTACTCTACTCTACTCTATTCTATTCTATTTCTATACTAATTTCCTTTCTGCAAAATAAGCAAAGAATTAAAAATGGCTTAAATAATCAGAAAGCATGTGAAAGATTCATGTGACAAGTTTAGAGGAAAATAGCTTTATAAACTTCATTGGTGTTAAAATAAAGGAATTTCCTTCTAAAACCGTTCAGGCAGGTCGGAGAACTGCTTTTTCATTCTTTTCACCCAGATATTCGCAGGGTGCAGATAACCATGAGAAGTTCATGTTCCTGTAATGACCCGGTGTGTACTACCAGTAAACGAGGAGTTTGTTAAACTACCACTATGGAAATGCAATCAAAATTTTCATCTCTGTTGACTTTCAGTTCTTATTTGGAAAGAAATATTGGCCAAGCCAATATTCCTTATTCAGGAAAATCATAACCCACACCCTACAAGCAGGTATAACAATCTTTTTTTTTTCCCCCCTGGAATAACAGTAGCAGAATTTAAAACAATTTACCAAAGGCACTTTGTCCCGGAGTTTGAATTTTGCAGCTTCTGACGGTTATGGTTTTTCTTCTCCAGACACAATGGCTGGAGTTTAACCGTTGCCTATGAAGTGCGGCAGGGCGTGCTGGAGAGAACGTGTGTGGGAAGAGATTTCTCTGAATTGCAAATCAGCTGTGCTGAGCAAACAGCCTTGCATCGGCTGTCATGGAGGAGCCGGTTCTGCTCTCCAACAGCAGAAACTGCACAAAAAGGACAGAAATGGGCAAGTATGGAAAAATATCACCTCCTCCCTATGGGATGTGTTTTAGTTGGGTACTTCTTCTCCCCACTGCTCTGTGCCCACAGCCAACACATCAGCTCTGTCTTCCTCCTCCACACAAGAGCAGGGCTGCCAATTTTCCTGGCTCATCTGACTGAAGAGGCTTTTACTAGAACAACTTTTGGCTTCAAAGCTGCCGGGTTGGGTGTCCACATACCAAAATATAAAGGCTATTCATGAAGTAGCTGCACCTCCGGCAAGGCTGGGCATTTCAAAACGCTCTCATTTCCCATGAGAAAACACTGAATCCTGAGGTCCATCTAGTGGCTGCTCCCTGAAGGCAGAGCTGGTGGCAATCGTGCTATTAGGGGACCCAAGGAAGGGGCCGAGTGGGGCGCCGATGGAAAGAAGAGGGTGCGGCCATTGAACACCATCCCCCATGGAACCAGGGATGGAGCTCGGCACTGCGGGGATGCTCCTGTCTCCTGCCACCGGTGCCCAGTCATGGTCCTGCTGTGACAGGGACAAAGAGGAGCTGTGCAGCGGGGGCTACGGCGC